CCACTTTCTCATTTTTTTCAAGTCATGATTTCATTTTAAGATCTGATATATAGTCACTTTGCATGTTTTTTTAATGGCTAGTCTCAGCAGAATTCATGCTAAGAAATGTATAAGATCAGATCAAATGAAATCAAACGTGAAATTCATGATCTCAGTGACCAGTCTAAATCAGTGCCTGTTCATGTCAATCACATTACATTAGAGAAGGATTCAGAAGATAACTATGAGAATATCTCAATGAAACAGGGAAAAGATTAGCTTCTGTTCAAATTCACAAACAGAAGCTTGAAGAGGTCAGATGACAACAATTTGAAGAGAAAATGACAATGAATATGATTCTTGTATCTACTGTGATTGATAACATATATAATATGAAAGTCATGATAGACAGCAGTCTATGTCACTATGCAATGATAAAATCTTCAGTTGTAAGATGTTATAACCTTCAGTGTATTCTCTTATCAAAACTCTGACTTCTCACAGAATTTAATGATTCAAAAGATGTTTGTACCTGTTACATAGTGAAACTAAATATAGATGTGAAAGAACATCAATATGAAGATGTCTATGCATACAAGGTTGATAATCTTGATTATGATTTTATGTTAGAACTTGCCTGACTATCTGAACAAGATATCTTGTTAAATGCTTGAAACAGAAGCTTGATATTCTCTAACAATGATAGAATTCATAAAGATGATATTCACAAGACTATGAATCTTACACAGATCTCTGCCAACACTTACAAAATACTCTGAAAAAGAAGTCATCATCAAAATCACTGACAGAGTCACTGACAAGATCATTGACAGCAGAATCATGTGTTAATCTATTTCATCAGTCTGACTGATATTAAAAAGACTCTAGAAAAGTTATCTCATGTTACAACAACAGATTCTTATACAAAACTCTCTCAATAATATTATGAATATCTAGATGTCTTCTGACAAGACAATAATGCTACAGATCTACCTCTCTTACAAGATTCAGAAGTGAATCACAGTATCAAGTTGAAAAAGAAGAATAGTAAGAACTCTGAATCATTATAAGACTCTCTTTATAATATGTTCTAAGATGAACTTCTTCTTCTTCAAAAGACACTCAATGATCTGTTGAATAAAGAGTTTATATGTGTTAGTAACTCTTTCATCACAGTCTCTATTCTCCTTGTAAAGAAATTAGATGAAGAACTTCAGTTCTGCATGAATTATTAAGAATTGAATAGATTAATAAAGAAGAACTGTTATTCTTTATCTCTTATCAATGAAACTCTAGCTCACATTGAACAAGCTCAATAATTTACAAAGTTAGATATCATTACTGTGTTTCATAAGATCTGTATCACTGAAGAAGATGAGTAGCTTACAGTGTTTTAAACATAATATAGTCTCTTTGAATGAGTAGTTACACTCTTTGAACTGATCAATGCTCTCAGTATATTTCAGAAGTATATCAACTGAGCACTCTGAGACTTTCTTGATAAATTTGTATTCACTTATCTAGATGATATTCTCATCTTCATCAATGAATTCAGAAAGAAATATCAAGAGTATATATAAAAAGTATTACAATAACTATAAGAAGCAGAACTATCAATTGATATTAATAAGTGTGATTTTAAAGTTAAGAGTATTAAATATCTGAGTTTTATTATAGAAGCTGGTAAGAGAATTTGAATAAATTCTGAGAAAGTCTCTATTATTCTTGAATGAAAAGCTCTATATACTGTGAAAGATGTATAAAGCTTCATTGAATTTACTAACTTCTATCAGTGATTTATATAAAACTTCTCAGATATTATAAGATCACTTACAGAACTTATTAAGAAGAACTCAGTATTTCAGTAATCAGTGAATACTGAAGCTGCATTCACACAGATAAAGAAGATATTCATTAATATCTCTCTACTAATAATATTTAACTCTGATTGTGAAACAGTTGTTGAAGCTGATTTCTCTGACTATGTAACAGAAGAAGTGATATTATAATATAATAATAAAGATATTCTATAATTATATGTTTTCATATCTAAGAAACTGAGTTCTGTTGAATGTAATTATAAGATCTATAATAAGAAACTTCTTACAATTATATACTATCTAGAAGAATGAGACTCTGAACTTCAAAGTATCTCTGAATTTAAGATAATCACAGATTATAAGAATCTCAAGTACTTTATAATTATCTGTAAACTCACTGAATAACAGATATAATAATCTGAATTTCTAAGTTACTTTTATTTTATAATACACTACTGCTCTGACAATCAGAACTTGATAACAGATACTCTCTTATAATAAGAACAAGATATACTATTCAATGTAACAGATATACACTGAATAAACTGAGAACATCAGCTCTTAGATCTGAAGATATTAGTTAATCAAGATAGAATAACTCATGACACTATATATACTTCTCTGATTAGAATATCTTCTCTTTAAACTGTTACTAACACTGATATCTTGACTTCTTCTGAACCTACACTGAATGAATTATAACATGTAACAGCTCAAACTGATGAACTTCTTCAAGCACTCACTGAAGCAGTATATCAAGAAGTATCTTAATTCTTCTCAGAACTATATATAAGAACTGACATCTCAGAATACTCAATTAATGATAATAATACTCTATAGTTTTATAAATAACATTGAGTTCTCTATGCTAAACTCTTACACACTCAGATAATACAAGAGATATATAATTCATATATAATTAATTACTTAAGTTATGAATAATTATATTAAATAATCTCTTAAGAGTTCTACTGATCTGAGATATTAAATAGTATCAGATGTTTTATTTAAAACTGTAATTATTATTCTTTCATTATCTTATAAAAGAACTGTAAAAAAGATCTACTAAAATCACTTAATATCTCTGATAAAATCTGATAAGATGTAATAATTAACTTTACTATTAATCTCTCTAAGAGTAAGAATTATAGAAATGTTCTGATTATTATAAACTGATTAAGTAAGAATATAATATTGAAATCTTATAATAAAATAAATACTGAATAAGTTATCAAAGCTTTTCTACAGAGCTTATTCTATTAAATACATGAATTACTGAGATTTATAGTATTAGATCAGAGTTGTTAATTTATAAGCACTCTCTGAACAAGAATCTATTAAGTTCTCAAGATTATATACTATCTGTTAACTGTCTATCATCTCAAGACTAATAGTGTATCAGAATAGATAATTCAGACTGTAAAGAATTATCTTTACAAGTTCTGTAATTACTTATAAGATGATTAATATAATCTGTTTCTATATACAGAGATTACTATCAATGAATAAGATATTATTTTAATAAATATAAGTCCGTTCTTTCTTATATATAATTATTATATAAAAGTGTTAAATCTTCTAGAGATTATACAGTTCATACTGAATCTCTGCAGTCTGATTCAGATCACTAATAATATAGTAATAAAGCTCTGAGATGCTCATGACTGAGCAGAGATCTTCATAATAACTATGAAATAAGATTAAGAGAATTAAATTAATATTCACTGAGACTCTGTCAAACAATATAAGATAGAAGACTTAATGTAATTAAATCTTAAGAATATATAAATCATATATTCATCTCATACACTGAATTACTGTTATATTAAGTATAAAGTGATAGAAGTTCTAGATAGTTATATCTATTATTTTAATATATTATCAGAGATTTATAATATCTTTTATACAAGCTTACTCTGCTACACTGTTACTGACTTATTTTCTTCTCAACTAACTTTCAACTGACAGCTGCTAGACATTATAGAAGAAGATAATAAACTTGAGTAAGAAATTGAGAATATTCTTAATAAGAGACTCTGCAGCTATAGCTAATAATATCTTGTGAAATAAGTTAGCTATGATTAACTGATCTGAACTTTGAGTTTCATATTATCTGAAACAGCAGTTCTTGACTGATGAGAACTGCTTCTGAAAGAGAGAGACTAATGTGACAGACTGCACCTGATCAATTATATAGACTATTCTATTACACTTCACAGATTTCAACTGCTTCATTCTCAAATATATACACTTCAATTCTCAGTCATTCTCAATTATCAATTCTCAGCTGTTATAAACATGTATACTTCAATTCTCAGTCATTCTCAATCACTGATTCTCAGTCATTATAAACATGTATAGATTCTTTCATCTCAAAGCTTCACTGCATATATCATTATATACATATATAAATATTTACTTCAATTGCTGATTTTCATACTTTCTCTTTCTTTTTCTTCTTTAACATTTTTCTCTTTATTATATAAGATCTATCAATATTATACTGATCTATTTAGTGTAGATCTCTTATAATAATTAATTAATAATTAATTCAGAATTAATTCAAAATCAATTTAAAATTAATTTAAAATTAATTATTAAATATTTTTGTCTTAATATATTTTAAAATTCTGTAAAACATCTCTTTATATTCTATATGAATTTATCTATTCATTTAATTGATTATGAATCAGTTATACATGCTTTTTGATTGATTGATGAGCTGAATGAATGAATAAATGAGTGAATTGAAAGATTGAAAGTCAATTACCAACTGATTATTACTGTATTGTGTGAGGTTGGGGTCATGATTATGTAACAAGGTCAAGTGGCGCACTTAGCAAGGTCAAGTTTTCTGCTTCCTGGCATTTTTCGGCTGTCTTTTGCAGCAGCAGCGCTGAGATTGGGGTGTTGTTGGCTAACTAACGTTAACTAGTTAAATAACTTTATCACCACTGGCTCGGGCCAATTTATCTCGCTGCCTCAACTGCTCCTCTTATTCCCTAGGCAACCAGGCCGGTCTTGGGATCATGCCATTGTGATGGTTTTCAAAATACAACTCCGCTGTCAAAACGGGGGTGCCTGTCATTCTGTGTAGTTCCAAGCCAATCTCCGCTATGAAGGCTTCTCAGGGGTTGGCGTGGCCGCATGGAAAGGAGCCTACTCTACTGCTCAATAATAGTGGCGCAATGCCTAGCCACCATGGAGGTGGAGCGAAATCGTGGAGAACTCATGGCGGATCTCAAGAGAGAATTGAGCTGCCTATATCCTCCGCCGCAGCAACACACGTCGCATCGAGGCCAATATGACAAAGTCTTAGGTGGCAACTTCTAGCATATATATATATATAACGGGCTCGAGGCTCTTAATTGCTCTCGATGGTTCCCCTTCTCTTCTCTAACAGCTCTTCTGGATCAAATATCTGCGTTCTTTATACCGACGATGGTAAACTTCAACCTTTCTAGATTACCATACGTTGGCCGGTTTGTCAAAGATAGTAGCTATTGCCGGTGCCTTATGTTGGGACAAGATAATGCAGGGAAAACTACCCTTCTACACAGACTCCAGCTGGGAAGAAAAGTTGATACCATCCCGACAGTGTTGTACACCTCTAATAGTGAGTTTTGCCGCATTCTGCGATTCCCATTTAGGCAATCTTTGAAAACTCACAGCTCACCATTGAGAAATACAGTTGAAACGGTCCAGGTACCTTCGGAAAAAATCAATATCACGTTCTGGGACCTAGGAGGTTTGTCTCCCTTTCCTGAACTGAATATGGATTTTGGAAACTGTCTTCGTGAATTTCAGTCTCTATTCGATACTGAGTTCGTCGAATGTCGCAGAGCGTAATCTATGTTGATACGGAGTTAATCTCGGTTGTATACAGGTGGCTGTTCGCGGATTCCACCCCAACTCTTCCGATATTATCTGGATCCAGAAATCTTGGTTTTGTTTTTGATTGATCCTACAGTGATCTTTTGTCCAAATGACGGCGCTAGAAGAGCGCAAGATGCCATTGAAGAGCTGAAGTTTGCTCTAACGGAAATAGTCGGGGCTAAGTATTTAGCAGTGATATTTACAAATCGCGACCAAACACGCGGCGATGATCCTCGAGTCGAGCTTCAAATTTCATTGGTGAAGCAGGTCCTCGCCGAGCATAGGACCAAGGTGCCATATCCATGCGAGCTTTATGATGACCTAGAGCAACTTAGCGCAGCTACAGGCGCGCAGACAGATATTTTGCTAACAAGGCTTGCCCGCGTCGCCAAAATGGAGGAGAAGGCGATGAGAGATTTCCTGATGAAAAAGACAGCCCCGTCTCCTTCACCCAAGCCAAACCTACCCAAGCTCTCAAGAGAGGAGCTGTTGGTGAAGATAGATAGCGGCTCCAAAGATGCGGATAACTTGCTAGGTCCAGATGAATTTATGAGGCGGATGGTTTCAGGGGATTTAGAAAAATGGGACCATCAGTTCCATTTGCGTGCTGGGTTTTTAACGCTTACAGAACGCATTCTCAGGGAGAACGTTGTATTCGACGCAGCTGACTTATTTCTTGAGCGACTAGATCTGATGCTGAAGGCTGTGCCGGGAAAGTTTCAGAATACTTCACATCGGTAGGCATCTGAGTCCATCCCGTGCTTATAATGTTATTGGTATCCGGTCTACGGGCACCTATTTGAATGGACTTATCTGACGAATGAACCTTTATCTGTTTATTAGGACGTTGACGATATTCTGGCTGCATCAAATCTATCTTGCCATGCTCTCTTTTCGCGAAAGAGCGGGATCATTCCCTGCCAGGGAGAAATTCAATGAATTTCTCCTGGAGAACCCCGATCTCATGCATGGCCGTTCATGGGACTTGTATTATTCCAAGGATGTTTTGTTCAGTCCGGCGGCGAAAGATGGCTGGAAACTGCCTGACATCCGACCCCTTCCGCGATATATATCGCGTCGAGTAGAGAGCCAACAACCCACTACTCCAAATCACGAGAAGAACAAAGCCATATCCGTCCAATACCAGACACGCCTAAACACCACAACCCCGGAGATCCTCAAACGTTTCGCCTTCGCAACTCTCAAGGCGATGAAATTGACCAACCGCCGTCGAGCTGCCGTCATTAACGAAACTATGCCTGTTCTGCAGTCGCAAATAATACGTCTTCGAGCCGCGTTCTTAACAACCCCATCACCATCACGGTCTGCCAATTCTACAATAAACATAGACCCTTATTCCGTTACCCAAGCCTACTTCTGGATCCAGATGCTACACGCAGCCATAGAGTCCGTCCCTGCCAGCTCAGGGCTTGACATCCGAAACATAACCTTCGAAAGCTTCCGCGTCCTCTTCCCCGAACTCCTTGCGGAAGATGATATTTGGAAGCAGTACTATACCGAAGAACGATGGACCAGCATCAAGGGGCGTACGTGCACGGTATTACCCGACTTAAAACCGCTCCCGAACGTGTTGCAAGCCCCTTCGCAATCCCATGTTCGGCAGGCTGTAGCTTCGACGCTCGACGAGAAGTACTCGTATTTCATCATTCTCGACATCGCTATATAGCTATGGTCGACCAAGTGTGGAGGAGCTGTTTCTCGAAGTGCGCTGGGCAGTGAGGGAAGCGCGCGAGTGTGGGAGCAGTTATTCTGCAATTCCCAGCACGCATGCCATGCTCATTTATCGCATCTTTACCCGAATGTTGGACAGAAGAACTATATCGCTATCCAGCGCGGCGTGGGATGCAGTGTCGTTCCTCCACCACCAACAACAACAGCCAAAGCAAGCCAAATCACAAGAATATGAAAAAGAACACCATCACCATCACTATGACCACCCGCCCTCTCCACAAAACTTCACGGCAGCAGTCTTCTGGTCCAATATAGTTCTGCGTGCATTTTTCGAGACCGATAACTCATCCCCCTTCCATTCAAGATACATCAGTTCTGCTTCTGCCACTCACCATACGACATCTTCTCAGCAGGTAACGTTGCGGGCGCAATTCTTCGAGGAGTTCCTCCAAGCCAATCCGGAGTTGTGCTGGGAGGGTTTGTGGCGCTTGTATTATTCGGATGAGTTGTGGAGGAGCGAGGATGCCAGAACTATGTATGTAGTGCCGGACCGGAGGGGGATTCCTGCATTTGTGGAGAATGGAACTGGGGGTGGAACGATGGAGAAGGAGGTAGAGGTAGAATTGGAAGCAGAGAAGGAGAAGGAAGAGAATGTGGTGTTGGAAGGCGGATGGGAGGTTGTGGGTGAATAATGATTCGAGTGGAATGTACATGTATGTACAGTACATACTATTGACTGTTCGTCGTTACTGAAATTTAAGGGAGAAAGTTTCGTGCGCTGGAAATCATAAGTATTCAGTGCTCAGATATATTCATGAATTGAAGAACCTGATATATTTCCTGTGCCCTAGGATGGCAGTCCAATGGACACCTTTCATCAAGTGTTTTTAATTATTCTGCGGGGATCATCGTGGAAAAAGAACCTAAATGTTTGTGATACTACAGGTAGGTAGGTAGGGCAAGGCGCTTCGTAAGAAGAAAAATAGAGAGAAAAGAAATATCAAAAATATTTGAAAGACACTGAATTTCCTGGATTACTTCCAGCCGGCTTTCATCATCTCACGTTCTCTGTGATGGCTTCTAACATACATACCTAGGCACCTAGGCACCTAATAAATACCACATGTAGTAGGGGGGGTAAACTAAAACTTATGAAAGAGGGAAAGGAGACGCGTAGATAGACATGACGCATATAAGAATGATTACAAAGCCAGGGGATATTGGGCTGGGGCCTGGGGGACGGGACGACAAGGATAAACAGAAGCCCAAAAAAACGCCGAAAATATGTAAGTTTGAAAGAAATAGATTAAGAGAAAAGACAAGGGCCAATTCCGGGCTTAGCTACCCACTACACCGAAAAGAGAGATAGAGAGAGTAGAAAGGAACAGAAAAGAAACGAAAAGCTGGCTTAGCCCCTGAGGCCCTCCCAAATCAAACCCATTTAAAGAGGCCAGAAACTATCAAATCGGGTAATATATTAAATTTTATTTTTTTCAATCAATCTCAAGAATAGAAAGTACTCTTCTGGAAGCTCTCAGGGGAAACATCTCCCATCTTGCCATTAATCACGGGCTTGGCATTGGCTGCCTTCAGGCTATTTGCCCGCTGCTTCAGCTGCTCGTCGGCGGCAGCACCCCCAGCGCCTAACAGGGTATTACTCCTGGACGCAGATAGAGACGATGGCGCAGACGCGGCATTAGCACCCGCTGTGATAGCCTGTTGCTGCGGTTTTCGCTGGATGGTTTCTAAGTAAGGGCTTGGTAGGTATCCGACGGTACCATCACGGGCCCTGCACCGCCACCACTCTGACGGGTTCCCCATGGGATCCGATCTACTAAGGACAGCGACGAGATCGCCCTTTTTCACGGCAAGGTCGACGCCGGCGGTGTTCTGGGATTCGGGGGTGTAGTCGTACATGACGCGGCAGAAGTCGAGTTTCGAGGGGTCAATGGCATTTTGTTGTAGATTGCCCGGGAGCGGTTCGCCGTTCGGGCCGATCATCATGTTGCGCTTGGCTTCGAGTTCTTGTGAGCGGGCGAGCGTGCGGATGAGCTTGCCCATGAGGTAGGGGAGGCCAAAGACGGCGACGAGGAAGAAGAAGAAGGGCTTCTTGGAGGGGCGGGGAGGGGCTGAGGAGCCGTCGGGGAGGGTAGACGGCCTCTGGCCCTTTCCTGTGAAAGCGGCAAATGAGGATGGGGTGAGTGATGTGGCGTCCGCGGGAGGTGGGCGGCCGGTGAGTTTTGCGATGAGAGTTCTGAACCATCTGAGGATAGTAAAGATACCTAGAACGGACCCTAGGGTATTTCGTAGGTTGCCAAACTGCTCTGCAACGGATACCATGGCTAGAAGAGTTTCCCGTTAGCCAGGGGTCTATAAATTTATTACCCACAAATTAAAGGGAATCAGGAAGACATACCAAAAAAGGAGCTATGGGTTGCCATGTAGGTGCTCTCCAGCATCTGCGCAAACCCTCCAAATGCACCCACAATACTCTCAATGAGCTGGAATGTAGCTTGCGTACTCTGATTAAAGGAGTTTGTCAAGCTGTTTGGGTCTCCGCCTGGTGGCATACCGCCGTACATGCCACCGTATCCACCCATGCCACCCATTCCACCATACATACCCCCGTATCCTCCCCCATATCCGCCATACATCGATCCCATACCCCCTAGTCGCGAGTATGGCGATGAGTAGCTATTATAACCGCCATAAGTACTCCCATATGGGCTTTGGCCTAGTCGCGACGCACCATATGGGGAATAATTCGATGCCGTCTGGTTAACGACAGAATTAAGGGAGGTAGGTCGTGAAGGGAGATCTGGAGCAGAGGAGGTGGTCGTTGAGGGAGAGGTGGAGGAGGTAGTAGAAGTATTGTTGGGTAGAGGGCCTGCCACCGCGGAAGCTGTTCATCCCGCAATAAAGAAAAAACTGTTAGCCACGTATTGCCTCTAGGTAGAGCGTAGAGATAGGCAACAAGCCAAAAACGAATTCTTTCCTCTCGGGGGGGGTTTGGAAGAGACAATGGAAACTTACCAGCAGCGACAGCACCGGCGCCGGCTCTCTCCCACGGCTTTGGTGGCGAAACCGATGCCATTCGTGCTACGTCTACACGCACTCACGGCTTGTGAAAACCTCTATGTCACCACTCGGTAGTAGTCGATGATACAAGACGGCCTCTCTATATCGTGGACTCGGGGTGGAAGCGATGTTTGGGGAAGAGCGCCAAGCTCGGTAGGTAGCTCTGCAGCACCAAGGAGAAGGGCGTATTGGCAGGAAAGATCCGAAAAGAGCTTGTAAAACGCCGGCTTTCTTGACTCGAGATTCCGGGAATGATGGTGCGCCGCTGCGCGGGAAGTAGACAGTTTGACGTGGAGGGTGGAATGAATATTTGGAAGATGCAGAAAAGCTGGAGGAGATGTTTTTGCCCACGAATGCGCGTTTGGCCGAGGATGGGGAGGCGGGATGAGTCAGCAGGGCGGGGCGGGGAGAGATTTTCGGGAGCTTGCGAGCCGAGGATGTTGACGGCCGACGGGGAAGACCATATTGGAGGAGGTAGGTGTATCGAAGACGCAGGGAATAAATGGATGTATAGAGAGGATAATAGTTACTAATATGCATTGTTGGGTCTGTCAATCAACGCCGCACATGCTGCATATATATCGTTATATTGGTTTACAACGTCCTTCACACCCGCCGTCAGATGCAATTCTTCGCTGGTTCTTCCTGGAAAATCGCAGCCTCAGATCACATGTCGCGCTGCCACCCAGCAACTTTTAACCTGATAGCATCTGAAAGTTGCCATACGAGGGGTGATAGCCAGGATGCGCTTGATACAGGGTTAAAGGAGGCCTTGAAAAATATATTGGGCTAAAACTATTCGCGGCGATGATATATCCGATGTCTTTCCACTATTGGACTACAAGGGGAATCTTCGACGTCCCTCCAGGTGAGGATATCCTAACTCATCAAACCTTACTCCAACACATGAAAAATGACAAGGCTAATAGCACGGATATGGCAGGGAGGGATAAAATGAGTAATACCCCTTGACGACGGAAGTTACCCACTCCTTAGCTCTACAAATGAATAGAAAGTTCCACATGTGTATGGGAAATAGGGTTTACGGCCGAAGCGTCGAAGTAGAAAAAATAGGTAAGTAGGCATTATAAGGTTTACTCTAAAAAACCTCAGAATGAAAATGAGGGAGGAAAATGTTGCGAACAATTAATTGTGGATGGAGAAAGCCGGGTGGTGAAGAATTTTATAAGGAATCAAAAAATAGAATATATATATATACATATATAAAATATAAGAACTGTCCAATATAATGCTCCAACGCCTGGTGCTACATACTCCATGTACTCGTACAGCTATACGTGTTGTGGAAAGTTGTCGGTAGTACGTATATATGCATCAACAACAGAGACAACAAAAGTAACAAGACAGATGTGTCTAATTTTGGCTTCTCGCCGCTATATTGCCCCTATGGAAGGGAACTTGGAAGAAAAATGACTGACGGGGTATGTGATAATGATAGCACAATGTTCCATGTCAGACTGCAACAATGGACATTTACTCCATACATATTTGTATATGAGCTCGTCCAGTGCACTTCTAGAGTTCATCGCGACGGGGGAAACGGAATTCCCACGAACGGGGAGGGACGGGGACTCCAAGCCAGAAATTCCACAACCGGCTGAGCTCCATGATGAGGATTTTCCATCTGCATCTCACATTAGATACGTTACTGTGAGTTGTCTCTGCGGTGGGTTGAGAAAAGGATATGGTGTTGCTAACTTACGCTATACCAGGAAACTTAATCCAACCATTAAGCACATATAAATACGTCCGCCACACCACTTCGAATTCCTCTCGGAAAACATCCATGATACTATCTCCTTGCTTTTCCTTTGTATAGCCGGGATTAGAAGTTGTCCTCTGCGCCCACTCGTCATCATCGTCCTCTAGATCCTCTACCGAGAGTCGCTTGTGATCTTGCTTCTGATCTTTGCGCGATGGATTAACCTTCTCCTCGCCCTGGCCATCACCTTTGTCAGATTTAGGCCCAGCAGGCGAGAGTGGAGAGGCCTTCGGGAGGGTCGTATGAACAGGCAGGTTACCCTCTGTGCCAGATACTATCGCTTGCTCAAAGTTCTGCACAGCAGTGATACTATGCGATACCCGCCCAAGCGTATTGATAAGAGCCACCAACTCTGTTCGCCGCAGAGGCGGGTTTTCGCCGTTCTTCGTCTCGTCAAATTCGAACAAGATCTTCAGCGCCGCGCCGTACCCAGCGGTCTGCAACTTACCCCATAGTCGACACTTGTCACAGCCAATGCAGTCCATGAGCCGACTGACATTGCGGAAGCGGTTGCGGAAATCCTCCTTGAGGCCATTGGCAGCCTCATCGCGGAACATGGTGGTCTCGTCGAAGATCTTTGGCTGGGATGAAACAGTGTCGGCAAGTGAGAGGACCTTCACCCTCGTATCGAAATCCTGTGGCGGATCACTGTTACAGAAAGAGTATGCTTGTAGAAGCTTTTGGATCTTGGACACGGCGCGAACAAGGACCGCGAAGTTGAAGTAAAGGTTCGAGATACGCTCCGGGTGGTCGTGGAGACGTTCCCTGTAGCATTGGACATTGGGAAGCCACTGTCCGGTTTTTTGATTGAAGTAGTCCCAGCACAAATGT